ATGTCAGAGTTCTGATTGAAGCCAGGCTGCCTGGCTCCTCGGTAACTCTGACATTGGCGAGTTACCCACTCTGAGCTTCTTTTCATCAGTAAAATGGGGATAACAGTGCCCACTTCATAAAGTTGCCATATTAAATAGCTTTATAAGTATTAGTTATTGTTATAATTATTATTAGATAATCTAGCTCATTGTTCAGCATCTGACTTATGACAAGTTTTCCTCTTGCCACATCTTCCTATCCTGTGTCTTCTTTTCATATGTACTAACATTTTGCCCTTGAATTTTTTTTCTTTATTTTTTCAGAGTTGTGAATCTGGACCATTCTCCTTCCATTAACTCTTACATGAGATGAGTACTCCTGAAAAAACTATACTCTTGAAAGAAAACTTAAGTTTGAACTGGAAAGCTTTACTTTCCCTCAGCAATGGCCTATTCCCAACAAAGAAAAACCGTGTCTTTCTTTCCTATTCTGATCACTAGATTCTAATTTGAGTTTGGTTCCCATGTCCCACTAAGACTTTAGGATCGCTAGAGTTTTCTTGCTACTTGATAGGCATTTATGTAAACATTAGTTCATGAAGTAACAAACACATCATATGGGACACCTTCTTGAAATGAAAGGGTTAGCAAATTAGATTCCTAAGAGTCATTCCATTTACAGACCATACATGTACAGACATAGATTCTCAAAACTGTCTTGTCTCCCTCACAATGACTAAGGTCATTGAGGGCATAGTCTGAGTTTTAATCACAGTCTGACAGTCATACTCAGTAGTACTCAGTTTTATGAATATAATCAGTGCACACTTAAATGATTTTAAATGTCCATTTAAGGAGCCAGTCAAAATTAATAGAAGCAGCATTTGGGGCTATCTGCAAAAACAGCCTTTGCCTCATGCATTATTGGAATGGTAATATTGGGTCAAACTGCTAATAATAATAGTGTATTCCATAGAGAAGCAGCAAAAGCACTGTATTTGAGTCAAGACTACCTGAATTTAGACCCTAGCTCTGCCACTTCCTAGATGGATGACCTTGGGAAGTCTCCCTCTCTCAGAAGATTTCTAGACTGAAATATGGAGAAAATAATAGTACCTTCTTCATAATGTTGGGAGGCCTAAATGAAATAATAAGTGCTTATAAGACCATCTGGCCATCAGCAATCTATCATTTATAGAACATCTTCCATGTGCCAAGGAATATGCAATATGTTTTGTATTCACGACTTTATTTAATAATCACAACCATGGCCCTTTGCTAGAGGAAATAAAAGTTTAGTAAACCGCCCTGGCCGGTTTGGCTCAGCGGATAGAGCATTGGCCTGCGGTGCGGAGAGACCCGGGTTTGGTTCCCGCTAAGGGCACGTACCTCGGTTGCAGTTTGTCCCCGGCCCTGGTTGGGTCGTGTGGGTGGCAGCCACTCAATGTGTCCCTTTCACATCAATGTTTCTCTCTCTCTCCCTCCCACTCTATCTGAACAAAAAATGGAAAAATGTCCTCAGGTGAGGATAAATTTAAAAAGTTTAGTAAACTGTCCAAGTAAACACAATTGGTTAGTAAAAGGAAAATTAAAATCAAAGTTCTCCTGAGTCCGAAGTCTGACTCTGTTTAGATCCTTCAATTCCAACTTCAAAGAATTCATGAGACAAAAAACAAAAAAACACTGTATTTTAATATAGCATTGTCACTAACAAACCATGTACCCTTACTTGAAGACTGAAAAACCCAACTTACAATATCCTGTAGCTAAGAACAGCAGATCTATATTGTTTTACGTAAGGCATTATACAATGAGTATTTCCTTACATTCTGTTATCTTATTCTCACCTTGACCCCCTGAGAGACAGGAAAGGCGTACGGTATAGTCCAAGACTTTAAAATGAAGAAACATATAATAAATGCAAAAGCACTTTTAAAAATATAGTGTCAGACATATGACACCATCACCGGTAAGGCTTTCTGAGATAGAAACCTGATTATGTCACCACACAGGTTAAAAATCATTCAGCGGTTCCTCACTCCTTAAACATAAACAGTCCAATCTCCTCAGTATTGCATGTAAGCACCTTCATGGTTTCTGCTGTCCCCTACCAAGCCCCATGCTTTAGCTGCACATATCACTAGAAGTCTTCATTTAAACACATCTCCATACTTTGTTCTTGTTGTTCCAGCCCTCTGAAATGGTTTTCCCTCTCACCCTAATCCCATCAGGCTCTCTCAGTCTCACCTCAAGTGGCACTTCCCCTCAGAAACTTTTCAGGAACCCCCATGCTTCCCCTTCTCTAGCCAAGTTAATTACACTCTCCTCTGGGTTCTTTTACTAGTAGGTACTTAGAGCCATTACACCTAATCTCTCACGCCATGTTGTAACTTGAACAGCACATCCATTTGTCAAGTTAGACTATGACTTCTTTAAAAGCAGAACTGTGTGCTTTTCTTTATTATATTCCAGGGGCTCAATATATACTTATCAAATGTGAGTCAATTAAGGTTTTCCACAGACCATCTGGCCTTTTTTGGCTCTAGACATTTTCATATTCAGTTCTATTTTTATGACCTTCGAAACAAAAATATTGACCTTTCAATTCCTTTTTTACTAAGTAATGAACAGAATGAGTATCCTCACACCATTTCTGAACCTCACCCCATCTCTTACTAGAGGTGAATTTCAGAGATGAGGTGAGCTTCAGGCAGAGTGTAAAAATGTCTGATAAAATTAGAAATCTAAATCTTAACAGTATGTTTTCAAACTAGCCACAGCACCAAATTCGCTCACATGCCCTGTTCCCTGATCCTCACACTAGATGATCAGTGGCAAATTTAACATATAATATATCTAAATTTTATAGTTTAGCTACATTATAATTAAACACATATTCGTGGACTGACCGCCAAGTCTATATTCGATGTATGATTATTGATCATTATTTGTGTAGCAAACAGCCATTTTACCAATGTTTATTTTAGACATACCTGGGCTGCTTATTCTATTTGTTGTTTAATTTTGTTGCATTCTGTTGTTGATTAATATACTTTTCAAAGTATGTAACTTTGAGGTCTCAAGTGCATCAACTACCACTAACTTAGTAGCTATCCCCACAAATCCCTCGATATATATTTTACAAACATAAGAGATGGCCCCTGCCCTCATGGAATCTACAGTCTACCGTACCAGCATCTGCTTGTCCACTGCATCCCACTAGAGTCCAAGTTCACCCGCACCTTGAGCGAACACTTAAAGTTACTTCCACCAGCTCCCCTTGACATTCTGCCTAGTAGTCTTCCTCAGTTTACATAATCTCATTCCCCAGACACACATCTGCACTGTTGTTCTCCTTTCACAACCAAAATAAACATGTCCACCTCTGCCACCACTATCAACACTCTCAAGCTAGAAGCACCTTCTACCGTCCACAAAAATTCATGGAATACAGACATTCTGTTCTGATGCCCAACGGCTTCTTCCCCACCCTCCTTTCATCTGTCTCCCCTTTCTTCTGAGCCAAAGATCTGTCACCAGCACTGTCCCTCCTGTGCCTCAGACCTGCTGGGGGGCAGGCCAGGGGTGTCTCAGCAGGGCAAGAAGTCAGGCCTCCGTGACTAAACACTTTCTGGTGCTCCAGGAGGGCGCTGAGAACCAGGTCTGCCCCAGCTCTCCCAAGCTACCCCCGCTCACTCTCCCTTGGCTCCCAAACAGTCTCTCCACCCTCCATCCTGTCTCCTCCTCCTCTCTCCCCACTCCACCCAGCCTGTTCAAAGGCCTGGGTGAGACCAGCCAGCATCTCACAAGGGAAGCCAGAAGAAGCTCAGGCTGTTGCCCCAGAAACCCAGAATAGAGAATGGCTGGCTGGGCCCTGTTTGTTTTTCCCGTAATCAGAAAATCCCACTAGGGGGACTCGAGGGGGACTCTCAGTTGCCAGGGTGGCTAGGAGCCCAGCTAGTCCCCTACAGTCCTCTCAGAGGAAGATAAAGTACCAACTTTGCATCTTAGAAGAAGGCAAAGGAAACTGAGTGGGAGAGGGGCCCAGAGTTGAGAGTAGGGGAAGGGGAGGGAAGGAGGTCTGACCTGCTGGGTGCAGAAGCCAATGTGAAAAAACATTTGGCCTTTGGCCTTTGCAAGAGAGCCTCAAGGACATACTCCATCATACCCCATGATCACTTCCGAGAGAAAATAATTATTGAAGGAAGGGAGGAACCACCACCCCAGGAAGCAACTTTCATGCACAGAACACACACACAAACCACACAGGCCCTGCAGGGTGGGAGGATTGATTTCCAAAGTGTTCTCAGCTTTCGGCTAGGTAAAGGGAGCCATCACTTCTGGTTCGACTTTTACAGCCAGTGCAAGGGAACACCGGGTAACCGAACAGAAACACTGGCACCTCCCATATATTAATTAATCAGGAATGCATGATGGCTAAACCCTCTGAAGCACAGCAAGCTGTTATGGGCACATACATGATGCTGACAGAGATGTTACACTGAGAAAAAGAAAGAAAGAAATGGCATCTGAGTTGCTGGGATATCCTCTGCATCCTGGGTACCAAAAACCAGGAGTCTGCCCTGGTTAAATCTGCGCAGCTCGGTGCTCCTGGGCAAAGATGGAAATGAAGGTTCCCACGGCTTCCAGCAATGTTAGTAATCACCAGAGTTAATACTGTACTTTCAGATTGTCACGGTGGCTACTGCCTGTAAATAGGCACGTTTATTGCAGATGTATGTAAATATCTCCTTGCATTTCAAAGGTATTTATTCATCCAGCCAGAAGACAGGGCCAAACAGCTTAGTCACCAGCAGGCAAGGCAAATCTCTCTATTGATAAATCGGGGCATAAAGTAAACGTGGTCATCCTCCTCCCCCACCTTGAGCACAAATCTTTGTCCAGTGCATCAGCTCCCAGTTATTACTCCCGGCTCCCGAGCCCCCCCACCCTCCGCGGAGCAGATGCGTGAATTTCCGCAACTCCCGTCTGGGCTCCATCCCCTCCCCGCATGCTCTTACCTGCTATCCTAAGCACTGCCCGCTCAGCGGGGTCCAGCACCGAGCCCCCGTGAATCTTTCTTTTCGATCTCTCATGTTTAGGCAAATTCCAGGGTAAGGTGTCTCCAGGAGCCGGAGATGCCGAGCCAGATTTCTGGCTGAAATCATCCTCATCGGAAAAATCCGCAGAGGAAGACATAGAGCAGCGATAGGACGCGTTCCCGGAACTCTACAGAGAATGACACAGAAAAAAAAAGCATTAACCACAAAACACTCCCATATGCTCCTCGATTTCAACAGCCCCCTCCCTGCCCCCAAACTGAGTCAGGCATCCTGCACCCTCCTCAGCGCTGAGGGCCACAGACAAGAAATGAAACCCGGAGCTCACCATCCTTTCCTGACCACAACTCTGACAGCAGAGACAATACCCCCGCAGTTCCAGGACATGGGAGATTTGCACAGAAGTGTGTGGCCTGCAGTCAGCCACCAGCTCACAAATGACTGGCCCAACAATGAAGCCAGAATCAACAGCCTTCCTGTTACAAATCTATAGTATTTGGCTCCCCCAGCAGGACGGGAGAAACATTTTCCATGACCAGACTGCTGGTTAATTCATTAGGGCAACTAACTGGAAGTTTCAAAAACAAAGCACAAATGCAGGATGTTGGGTCCCAGATTCCTTTCCGTTTCCAGCCGCCTCACCACCGGAGTCTCCTTTCTGACCGGTTCGGAGCCCCCGCGCCCTTCGCTGGATGTTCCTCCCAGGACTGGCGCAGGTTAGCAGAAAAGAGCAAGGAGGGAGGGAGGGCTGGTTCTGAGAAGAGCCTTTTCTTAAGACTGGGAGAACACAAAAGACTGTTTTCAAGAGGCTAAAGCAGCTCCGATAAACAAACAACTGAACTCGGTTTAGAGTTCTTGAGATAATTTAAACTTCGAGCAAAGGAACAGCGGCCAATGATGCAAACGAAATGATGCGGTGCTGTGACAGGAAACAGCCTCTGGCCACTACACGGTGGGATGAGAGAAACATGGTGACTTTACCAAAGCACTTTGCCTGAAGGTTAGTCACCGCTTCGTCCAGCAGGAGCAAATCTGCAGGGCCGTGCCTTGCATAAAACAGTTACACCTTCCGTTCAGAGAAGAGGCACCGGTGTTATTCCTTCCTGCTGTATTGGGTTAAGTTTGTGATTATTTAGAGAGCTTACAATGCAAACAAGGATGCTGGCTATCTGTGCTGTGAACAATGTTATAAATAAAGTAAGTATCAAAGGGAAATCTTCACTTATCCATTTAGAATTTCACTTTGCTGAAGCCCACAGTAGAAAGGCAGAACTGGCATCACTCCAATTCTGGAAATGTAACTGCGCAGCCACAGACGCTTAAGGTGCAAGTTAGAGGTGGGACTCGGTGAGGCGTGCTCTAGTTTGGGCAAAAACACTGAGCTGCTCACAAAAGCAGTGACAACAAACACAGCAAACACGGGCTGCGTGAGCAACATCCCCGAGCGCTCGCTGAAGGCACGTGAAATAAACTACTGCAAAATCCGGATTATGGACCTCACCTCAGCCTATTCAGACGCATCGCTACACGTGGTCAACATCATCCTTTTAAAAGTACACAACACTGCCCACCAAATAAAGTACCTAAGATTTATCTTGACCTATATTCTTTCCTGAAAATGCAGTCAGAAAATTGTACCTGGAATTTCATCACCTTGGCAAATTTATTTATTTCCATTTTGTATGTTTTCCTAGTGGCAATGATGTAGTAGGCACACTGGAGGCAAATAAATAAATAAAATTGATTTTCTGTACTGTAGCTCAAATCCATAGAGAGTTGTGAGTCGCATTAAGATAGAAACAGAATGCTACCATCAAGCTAATTTATTTTCCATGCTTTTCTGGAAATTCATCTTCAGCTCTCTGAGGTTGTGTTGTTGGCTGGATCTGTGAAAATGGGTGACATTCTTAAAGACTTTCAAAAGGGTATTGGGTTTCTTTGGTTGCCTTCTGTCTTCCTTAAAAAGGCATCCTACCTGTCCTTACTTAAGGTCACCCTTTATCTATGAGATTATATTTCTTCTTGTTGCCTGCACTATTTTCAATGAGTATGGTAATTTGATTGTTTATCTTTACCAGCAGGCTTAGAGAATAACTATTAAAGAACTACTCCTTTCCAAAAACCATGGGCTATTGATTTTTGTAGAGTAAATTTTTTTAATGGCCAGAGTCTCAGCTGATTGAACAGCAAAATGTTATTCATGCCATGACATAAACACCATTAATCACACGCAGCCAGATGGGGACAGTTACTGCCCCTGGACCCAGGGGTGTTGACTGGTGCAGCCTCTAATCTGGTAGTGTCATTTGGTAAACAGATAAGAGAGTAAAGAAAGAAAAGACAATCAGCAACAGCTCTTTCAGCAATATATCACAGAAAAATATAGACACACACAGAGAATGAAAGAAATCATACATATTTATATGCTGTTAAGTCTCTCCTGGGCTAGGTGATTCAAATGTTTTAACAATTAAAGTAATATTTTTTTTCCACAATGATTTTCATAAATGCTTTCTGACAAAAAAGGCAAACTATATAAAATTAGGCCCATTTGAACCTTAAAAATTGAGAAGTGATATCTTTAAATAAAGCTGCTTGGAAGCCTATTGATCATTATACTCTTTATTGAATTGAAAGGACTTGCCAATTCCTGTCACTATCTTGGGGTTTAAAGGGAAGAGTGTAAGAGTACAGTTCTCTTCTCTTCTGTTTTCTTTTCTCTTCTTTTCTTTTGGAACAAGCAAACATCTTCTCTGACCCAAAGTCCAGAGCCTAACCTTCAGTGTGGGGCTTGGAAGAGTAAGACAGAGGAACAGGGTGCTTGTGACCAGCAAAGGCCCCAAGTTCCTATCTTTTCTTCTACTCTTGTCGCCTAAGGTTTGATTCCTGTTAAAATACAAATATCTGTGTCCATTAGGGATTAAATAAATTACAGTGTATTCATACAATGGACTACTCTGCAGCAACTAAACAAAAAATGTTATTGATCTACATTTAGCAAAATGGAAAAGAATTCATATAGAATTATTCTTTTTAAAAAATCTGTTCATGGATGTGTGCATAGGTAGACGGATAGAGAGATTATTGATAATAGGTAGGTAGGTAAATAACTATGTGTCAATATATACACAGTGGTTATTTCTGGGCAATGACTAATATTATAAATGGATTCTATCTTATTCCTTCTAATTTTATAATCTAAAACAAACACACAAAAAGGTTACTAAAAAAAAAAAAAAAAAAGAGATACTGTGTCAAGTGGCAGAGACAATATCAAAGGCCCCAGAAAGAAGTAACTATTGAAGCCAGTGCTTGTAGCCATTTTGGGCCCAAAGATGCTGCCTGAAAAGTTGATGAAATCTATGAAAACCTCTCTCCAAATCAAAACTCCTAAGTAAATACACACAAACTTTGCATATAATTTTAAGGGGTTCATTGACCCACTGACCCCAGGGTTAAGACCCCAATTTACACCATCATCTGTCATCACCATTTGGCATGTGTGTTGAGAACAAGATAAATAAGAAAGCTGTGGAGTCTGAGAAACCAGGGGAAAGAGTAATTAAGATAGTAAAGACAAAGTTGAGGAAAGGGCAATTAAGATAATAAAGACAAAGTTGACATAAGTCATAATATTTTTAACACATGGTCTTTTTTTTTTTTTTTTTTTAATAAAGGATCATGAGACATTTGTAGACTTAGGTCGGAAATCTACAACCGAAACAAAAACAAAACAAAAACCCCACTAGTTTGTGAGAAACCAAAAAAAAAACCTGTATTGTGCCTTTTTGCAACCTAGTTATTAAAGCAATTTTAACAATTGAATTAGATCACCACAACCTTTCAAATGGCTTTCCTAATAGCCAATTCATTTACATGGTATAAAAACAACCCAAATCTCCTAAGCCAGGATAATTACATAAGGCAATATTTTTAGAAAAGAAACTAAACAATCACTTCTCTCCCCGAAACCCTGGTGGGAGATCTGAGATAAGAATGGAACTGCCTCAGCTGGAAGTCTCCCAGCCTTAGCACCCAGCTCTGTAGGAAGTGGCAGGAAATCGTCTGTGCACTAGGCATTCTCAAAAAGCAACAGAGAAACAAGGGCAGAGATAAGGGTTTGTAAAACAGCCAGACTTTTAGAATCCAAGAGACTGGAAAGTTAACTTTCACAAACCCACATGCTTAAGATTTATGCAAATTTTCTTAAGTATGTTTCAAAACATTTACCCAAAATATTATTATTATTTGTTTTTTAATGAAAAGTACATAAGGGAACAATTGGGCAAATCCAGATTGTGGGGCATTCTACAAATTAACTGTCCAGTACTTCTCATAAAGGTCAGTGTCATGGAACACACCCAAACAGCAGGGACTATTCTAAACTTTAAAGGACCCCCCAAAAAATCATAACAACAAATTCATGAACCTTGACTGGATTCTGATTTGTTTTGTTTTGTTTTGTTTTAAGCTAAAAAGACATGTCAGGGACAATTGGGAAAATCTGAACATGGATCCTGGATTGTTTATTAGAAAATATTTGGGCCCTGGCCTGTTTGGCTCAGCGGTTGGAGCGTCAATCCTTGGACCAAAGAGTATCAGGTTCGATTCCAGTCAAGGGCATGTACCTGAGTTGCAGAATTGGATCTCCAGCCCTGGTCAGGGTCATGCGGGAGGCAACCAGTTGATGTGTGTGTGTGTGTGTCTCTCTCTCTCACATTGATGTTTCTCTCTCTCTCTCTCTCTCTCTTTCTCACCTCCCTCCCTTCCACTCTATCCAAATATCTAAAGATCAATGGAAAATATCCTTGCATGAGGATTAACAAATAAAAAAAATAAAAATAAATAAATAAGAAAATATTGGAAAAGTATTGTTAATTTTCTAAAGTGTGATAATGATATCATGGTTATATAGGAAAGTGTTCTTAACCTAGAAGACACAGGCTGAAGAAACTCATGATGTCCACACTTATTTTCTCTCCTTTCAATAAAAACAGAAGGAATCAGTAACTGTAGCAACAGATTAACAAAAAGTATCAATTGCATTACTCTTTCAGCTCTTCTGTAAATTTGAATATTTTCAAAATGAAGAGTTGGGGGGGGGGGGAATGCATAAAAGGCCCTTTTCATTTTTTTTTAAATGTCGCTCAGTTGAGGCCTGTTTTCACA